GCAGTGGAGGTGGAAACTTTGGAGGTTATTACCATAGTGAGAAATAACAGCAGTGCCAGAGAGCGGAGCACCGTGACAGTGTGAGAGCAGCAGCACCTGAGGGGAGGGCACACAGGTGTTTCTCCCAATAAAACACTACAACATGTGATCTAACGGACAACTCTGGCTGTTGTGGTGGAGTAAAATCACCTCATGATAATAATAAGAACAATAATTCAACAGTTTTCCATAACTAATGCACAGGGTGAATCTCTCTAATATATCAAATTCATTCTGATTTATGCCTTTTTGGACATGCAGTGTTTTTTGTTTGACTTTACAGAGAAGACATGGAGTGTGTCGCCATGTCGGCTGCACATGAGCTACACTAAAAAGAAGTCCGCTGTATGGAGGTGTTGTGGCTGAACAGGAACTCTCTCAGTGTCTTGCTGCTGCTGCCTTTACAGGAGGCAACAGGACTAAGAAGTCTGACCATTTAAATCAGCACCACAAAGCTCTGGGTGATTAGAGCAAAGCCACATCTGAATGCCATCCAAGGCAAAACACTGTTTAGGAAGCCTCTGCCAGTGCTACACCACGTGATAAACGGCATTTCTACACCCCTACAGAGTCAACTCAGCCATTCTAGAGCAAATTATTGTTTTGAAAAAATAAATGTAATCTGTATTTTTCATGTAATATCTATCACAGAAAAACTAAACATAGAAATGTCATCCCCCCACACACAGTATCCTAGATTACAGTTCACTGGTAGGTGTAGTGATGAGGGATGCCTTGAACATCTCTTCCCTTACAGCCTTCTACTGAGATGACTGCTGCTTTCAGGAGCTCCACCGACTCCAGGAGGACTGGCTGGAGAGGCGTTCCTGTTGAAATACTGAATACTGCTTGTACTGCAAATTGAAGTACTAAATTAAAGACTACGAACAGGCTGCTAACAACCAGCTACTAACAGTTTCTAGAGTTTATCAGTTAGCCTGCTAGCTGCCAAGAGCAGTGCATTTTGCATTGAAAAGAAACTTGCCAACATTTACATAATGAATGTCATGTTCATGTTGGTCCTTCACATGGACCACTGCTGTACTGCTGCTGCTGTAAAAGGCTCTCCTTTCTGCTGCTGTTGCCATGAAGCCGTTCTTACCTCGCTGTTGTGTCCTCTGAGGTTGAAGTTGACTCTCTGCGGGGTGGGCCGGTCCCTTCTGCAGTGGCTGGACGTGAACGTGACCCCGACGACCCCTCGGCCGTTCCCGGTGGCGAGCCAGCCCTCCTCGTAGTAGCGCTTCCTGCACACCGGCTTCTCCTTCTCGCTCTTGGGCACGCGGCCCTTCCAGGACAGGCACAGGATGTTGGAGTCGCTGCAGAGCACCGGGCCATGCTCCACGGCGGCGAACATCCCTGCAGCTCCCCGCGGCTCTCCGGTGAACAGAACGGTACCCGCGGGGAGGCTCTTGGGAGGAGTTAGTCCCGTTACCAGCGGCGCTCCTCCGCTGGGGTTACCTGCTGGGCGTCGGGTGTCACACAGCGACAACGGGGCATAGTCCTGGCGCTTCCCCCCCTCGGCTGCTCCGGTGATCCGCAGCAGTGACTCAAGGTGATCGATGAAAACTTCCCCAAAAGCACGAATGAGGTGAGAGAAGTGTGGACTTTACCATCGCTGGATCACACCGACAGGCAGAAGGCACTCAGGTCATCGTGGGGAGTCTGCTCAGTGTTGGTGGAACAAACCAAAGTGTTGTGAAAACGTGTAGAATCCACCGACTGAGCAAAGACAAACATCCGCACAGAAAAGAACAGAAAGGAGCGTTATGTGGTGAACCCAGAACCAGGAGACTCAGGCATCCTCATCCGACACGTCCCGGCGGCTTCCAGCTGTTCTTCTCCTGATCACTGTCTCATTTCTGCGCTCCGTGTCCTCCTCATTTGCTCCCGGTGGTGTGTGTGAGAGGAGGAGGAAGAGGATGAGGAGGATGAGGAGGATGAGGAGGAGGAGGAGCAGGGACTCCTCTCCATCAGCTGTCAGCCCGCAGAAGAGCCGCTTCTCCCGGTAACGTCATCACGTCAGCCAGCCTGCCTTGTCAACCAGCCTGGGGGATTCCATAGAGGGCTGCTGGGGGTAAAAACACAACATGTCACGATCAGATGGATGAGTACGTGGATGAGCAGGGGTAATTAGAACACGGCGTTAACAGCCCTCCTCCTCCCACAGCAGCCCTTCATTTAAATATTAATGCGCTCGCCTAAAATTACCCCCACGACCACTTTAGTTTGAGGACTATCCTGTTCTGCGGAAGGATATTTAACTAATTGCTGAATTATTTAGTAGAACCATTTCGGGTTCCGTCTTGTGAGGCTCCGGTGATGTAACCAAGCGGCCTCTCGCGGCCAAACGTTTAAAGTGACAGTAAACAGACGAGAAGGTAAACAAGACAATAATGTCATCGTCTGGCCGGAGACACGATCAAACGGTGGCAGCTCTAAAAACCAAAGCCAGCCACGTCCAGACACCGAGCAGCGGACACCGCCAGCCGCTCAACACCCCTCTGACACCGTCAACACTGTCTACATCCACTCAGTTGTCATTTTGAGAAAAGCACCGACTCCACTCAGACCAGTAACGGTGGGAGAGCATCCCTCCAGCCTCCAGCGACAGAAACACAGTCCGCTGTAACGTTACCGAAAAACACCGTCCCTGACACCCAAACGGCTGCTGCCTGGAGCCCGAGAGATGATGATGCCAAATTAGCCGAAACATCCATCACCCCGCGAGCAGCCTCCTAGCCGCAGCTAGCCCGACCCTGGATGTTGGATCCCGGCTAGGGGGCTCTGTGTGGGGCTCCACGGATCCAAACAAGACGCCAGCCCGCTGGGTTCGTGTCTCTTGTCTTTAACGTGTCTGGCTTTTGCGTTTTAATCAAGCCGAGATGCTGAGGAACGCGGCTAGCTAGCGCTGCTGCTGCTGCCTCCACCACAAAGAGCAGCCAGCCACAGCTAACCGGCTAACCGAGCAGCTAGCACAGCCGTGAACCACAGGCAGCGGAGACTAGCTCCGTCCGCCCGCCCGCCGCTGCCACTCGTCGCTAGCAGGCTAGCACGTCAGGCTACGGCTCATTCCGATGTTTTTTAACGTGTAGCTGGTCGAACTAACAGCGTGTCGGTGGTGTAGAGGACAAAGCGGTGAAGTCATACCGGCCGTGTCGTTAACAAAGCCGGAGCAGCACGAAGCGGCGGTGGGGAGCTTACCTCGGCTCTGCTGCTGCTGCTTCCTCTGCCTGCAGACGGCTACTGTACACTGGCAGGGCCCGACAGCTGGGCCACGTGACTCACACGTGATCCACTCCAATTAAATCATTCACATCAATAATAACTGTGACCTTACAGCTTCAATCTGATCCCTGAAAAGAGCAGGAACGTATCCGGTTGACCACCCAAACAGGAGGAACTACTCACAGTATTTACAGAGGAGAGGGACAAGAAAGGAGGTGATGTTAAAAATACATGGCGCAGCACAGCCTGAGTCTGAGGATGATAACAGGGATGGCAAAGAAAAATATGTGTTAACAGGTGGAAAATGGGAGAACGCTTTTGAAATTGGACATTAAACGCATTGGCCCATTCTCAATCAAACTGTACATCATCTGAAAGTTAAGAATTCAAACACTGAAAACTGGTTTAAGATACCAACACACACAGCAGCAGGTCCTTACGTTGTAGTAAGAGTGTGTACACAGTAAAATAGTAGTTTCTTACACTTTCTGTCATCAATAAAAGCACATATCTGTATCATTAACCCACTGTTTTCATAGCAACAAGCAAAAGGCTCCTAAACATTAAGTCTGTGTTTTCATTTATTTTTCTTATTTTTTAAAAGGTGAATGTTTCATGGAACTTTATTTGTCATGCCAGCTCACATTCACATGTTGTGGTATGAAATAAGTACTCAGGTCCCGGTTTCTAAAGAAAAAGCCTCATAAATAATAAGTACAATAACAAATAAAACAGGAACAATAAAAACAAGAGCAGAATATCAGTAAAAATAAAGACTAATCACATGTGTAGCAAAAGTTAAAGGATGAATAAACAGCAGCAGTCGTCTGTTTCAGTCAGTTCAAACTCATGCAGAGCCAAACGCTGCAACAACCCATTTTTAAAACTTCAAAATATATTCATACAACTGGACTATGTTGGAAAGCGTATGGGTTGGTAGAGGACATCTTTATTTTGGGATTGCCCAAAAATCTTGGACTTCTTTAAAACTGTTCAAAAGTGGATTAAACATCTAACAGGTATCACCTTTCCTTCAGATCCAGCACCCTCTATACTGGGTATAGCACCAAACAATGTCATGGGTACAGATAAGAGACAACTCATCTCTCCACTGACAAATTGTGCTTCTAATCACAAAGAAAACAGTTTCCTTGTTGAAACTGCAGTTATGTTGATTGTCTTTATTTACAAGGACCGCTGGCATTTTAAAACTCACCAACTCACAGCAAACATTTTACACAAAAATACATTTAATGTTATGATGATTACAACAACTAATGCTAAAAAACAATGCAATAAAGATTAAGAACAGATGGACACAAACTGCTGAGCAATGCCAGATATTATCCAGAGGAACATTTCTATGGTGTCAACACTATCAGCTGCTAGAGAGTTCTATTTGGAACACTAGTGGCTCCTTTTCAAAACTTAAAATTATTGTAATTATTTTGTCAGTAAGTTGCTATAACCTGTGAGTGAGACATATGTTTGTATATGACCTTCACACATACATGAAAAGGGCTGCAGGTGTCTCAGTGGTTAGCACCGCTGCCTCACAGCTAGAAGGTTCACGTCCCGGTGAGGACACCCGGGATCTTCCTGCGTGGAGTCTCCATGTTCTCCCCGTGCAGCGTGGGTTCTCTCCGGGTTCTCCGGCTT